TTAGCCCGACTCCAGTCCGCTTTAGCCCGACTCCAGTCCGCTTTAGCCCGACTCCAGTCCGCTTTAGCCCGACTCCAGTCCGCTTTAGCCCGACTCTAGTCCGCTTTAGCCCGACTCCAGTCCGCTTTAGTCCCACTCCAGTCCACTTCGATCCGACTCTAGTCCGCTTCGATCCGACTCCAGTCCGCTTTAGCCCGACTCCAGTCCGCTTTAGCCCGACTCCAGTCCGCTTTAGCCCGACTCCAGTCCGCTTAACCCGACTCCAGTCCGCTTTAACCCGACTCCAGTCCGCTTTAGCCCGACTCCAGTCCGCTTCGATCCGACTCCAGTCCGCTTTAGCCCGACTCCAGTCCGCTTTAGCCCGACTCTAGTCCGCTTTAGCCCGACTCCAGTCCGCTTTAGCCCGACTCCAGTCCGCTTAACCCGACTCCAGTCCGCTTTAGGTTGACTCCAGTCCGCTTTAGCCTGACTCCAGTCCGCTTTAGCCCCACTCCAATCCACTTTAGCCCCACTCCAGGAGGACTACAGCACAGGGCATTCTGAGTAAATACCAAAACAAATTTAGCTTAGCACTAATAGCAGAAATGGCTCGGGGTATTTAAAGAAATCCTCCAATCACTAAAATCTTATGCCTCCATCTTGTTTCCATCTGGTGAAGAAGGAAGTTGCTCTCAGTGTCTTCAGAGATTTTCGTGTCGATTTCCTTCAGTGGTTCTTGGTGCAGCGCCCCCACAGGCCAGGAGGGGAACAGGTTGGTTTGACTCAGAACCACAGCAGCTGGAGGTGGAGCAGATGTTCTGGTTCCAGTAGAACTAGCTCAACTAGACTGAAGGAGGGAAACAGCCTTAGTTTTCCATCTGATTCGTTTCATTTGAATCTTTAACACTAATGGCCAAAATGGCTCACTCAAAGAACTCCATGCTAGTCATAATGAATGAGGTTTTGGTAGTTTATCATTTTTAATTCTGTTTTTGCGGTTCTCCTCAGCCAGCCTTGTTTTGTTTTGTTTATCAATAAATGACTGGTACAATATTCAATATTCAGTATGAAGAATATAGAATATTCACTGAACTCCGATCCAGAACTGCACAGCATTCTGGGACATGTAGGCAGAGGAAAAACTTTAGCAGCTCAACCTCTCAATGTGAGCTAAGCTAGCTGGTAGCATCAACTAACTCACAGATTCTATGGTTGCCTAGCAACAACCTGCTGGGTAACAGGCAGTTTCAAGCCCCTACCCTCACTTTGGTTACCTAGCAACAGCCTGTTGAGTAACTTGCGCAGCAGCAATTTTAAGTTTCCAAAATTTTAACTGATTAAAATTTAAAAAAAGATGTGACGATTTTCTACCAAAAACTGATGTTTTGGTCTCAAATAAACCTTTTGATGAAAGAGACAAAATAATTTGATTTATTTTTTGTTTCTGTTTTTTTCTTTATTTATTTTAGATATTTAAAATGTCTTCTAGTTCCAGTGTTAAATATTTATTAGAATTTAAAGTTTATTGATGTTTGAAAATATGTTCTTACATTAAATCATAACCATTATATTACTGAAAAATAGTGGCAAAATAGCAATATTATCACAATAATTAATAATTAAAGACAATAACAGATTTATTCATAATGCCCTTTTTATATCTCGATCTCCACTGGCAAAAACCACAACAAAAGGAGCAATTACAACGACATGTCAGCGATGTCTATCTGAGAGCATGGCCTAGTCAAAGCCCGGTGGTGTTGCTAACAGTCTCGGTGTGTCTCCAGAGCGGACAATCTCCAAGCCGGTTCTGACCGGAACCCACCCGGTCAACACCACGGTGGATTATGGCGGAACCACGTCCTTCCAGTGTAAGGTCCGCAGCGACGTGAAGCCGGTCATCCAGTGGATGAAACGGGTCGAACCCGGAGAGGAGGCTCGCTTCAACTCCACCATAGAGGTCAGAGGTCACACCGCGCACACACAGTGTTCTGCTTCTGGTTCTGACCCCTACTCCCTGCCCTCTGCAGGCCGGTGACCAGCGCTTCGTGGTTCTGCCCACCGGGGAGGTCTGGTCCCGACCCGACGGGTCGTACCTGAACAAGCTGCTGATCAGCAGGGCGCAGCAGGACGACGCCGGCATGTACATCTGCCTGGGAGCCAACAGCAAGGGCTACAGCTTCAGGAGCGCCTACCTCACTGTGCTGCCAGGTCAGAGGTCAGGGGGGGCGGGGCTACAGCTTCAGGAGCGCCTACCTCACCGTGCTGCCAGGTCAGAGGTCAGGGGGGCGGGGCTACAGCTTCAGGAGCGCCTACCTCACTGTGCTGCCAGGTCAGAGGTCAGGGGGGCGGGGCTACAGCTTCAGGAGCGCCTACCTCACCGTGCTGCCAGGTCAGAAGTCAGAAAGGCAGGATGGATGAACTATTTGCCCATCCATCCACTCATCCATCCCGCTGACCTCTGACCTCTGTAGGAATATTTGCATAGTTTCATACTTTAATCGATTTTTAGTTTTAAAGGGATTTTAATTTCATTTTTATGAAAATTCTGAATCCTTTAAAGGAAAACCTGGAATTTTCTTAGTTTAAAACTTTTGCATAGTTCCACCCAGTTTTCCGTTTATTAAAATAAATTCCCGTGTTTCTGCCCTGCAGACAGGAAGTCCCAGCCCAGCTCCGTTCCCATGGTAACGCCCCCTGGCCTGCCCTGGCCCGTCATCATCGGCATCCCGGCGGGCGTGGCCTTCATCCTGGGCACCGCCCTCCTCTGGTTCTACCAATCGAAATGCAGCTGCAGTGGCTCCACCTCCTCTGCGCTGCCCGCGGCGCCACGCCGGGACCGGGCCGGCCCGCCGCAGCCACCCGCGGCGCAGCCAACGGGCTCCGACAAAGACTCGCTGACGTACGAGGAATACGCGGCGGCGCATCAGCAGCTGCTGCTGGCGCCAAAGCTCTACCCCAAGGTCTACACGGACATACACACACACACACACTCACACGTCAACGGCAAGGTGCACCAGCACATACACTACCAGTGTTAGCAGACGCAGCTGCATGCAGACGGCGCAGCCGCAGCTAACAGCATGCGACGAACTGCAGCAGGTAGAGACAGGAAGTCCTTTGCTTCAACCAAAGTCTGACCTGGTTCATACGAGCTTCCAGAACCGGGTTGCAGCTGCAGCAGCAGCAGCAGCAGCGGCAGCAACAGCGACTGCAGCAACAGCGACTGCAGCAGCAGCGACTGCAGCAGCAGCTGCGTTGGCGCTGCAGCGTCCTTCACCAACATCAACCCGACTGCAGCGGCTCTGTAGCCTCACACTACAAAAGCGTTTTCAGTTCATTAACTTTAAAAACACAGATAAAAAATATTTCACTTCTTTTGGACTTATTCTTTGTGAATTGAAAACATATACATGCCACACTTTTCAGATTTTTAAACTGTACAACTGCTGAAATAATTTTATTTCCATTTTCTGTTGATTTTTCTCATAAAATCTTTTTTATTATTCAATAAAAAAGAGTTTTTAACATTGCAAAGTAAAGATTAAATCCAAAAGGGGTGAAACGTTTTCCGAGATTATCTGATGAGTTTAAATTTAACTTTAACTGCTTTAAAGGTTAAAGCTACCTTTAACCTTTAAAGCAGTTAACTTGTAAAACACAGATAAAAAAAAACTCAAAGTTTTCACACTGTTTGGATTTTTTCTATATTTTTCAGTTACAAATTTCTTGTTTTTTTTATTGAGATTTTATGAGAAAATCAACAGAAAATGGAAATAAATAGGAGATTTCATCCTTTCACTTTTCAGATCCTGATGTGTGAAAATGTTTCATTTTAGTTTCATGGTTATCTTCCACTTCCTGTGGCTCCGGAGACGTTTGGAGGAAAAGCTGAAAGGGGGTGAAAACTTTTTTTTGTGATCATAATGGATTTATTTCTCAGGCGAAACGTAGCTGAGCCAAAACAAATTGATGAGTGATGTCACTTCCTGCTTCCTGCTCCCATTGAGCTGAGGTGATGATGTCATCAGTTGCATTTAAACAGGGAAACGTTTTAGCATCATTAACTTTGTTTAAAGTGAAACTAAATCTTAAAGTTCTGCTTCAGTGAAAATGAATCATTTAGATTATATTCAAAATAAAACAGGTTTAAACGTTTCGTTCAGGTGTCCGTCTCGCTTGGTGCTAAAATAATCATAATCCAATAAATAAACATTTGTTACATGGAAACATGCGATAGATTAAATTTTAATAAATAAATAAAAATATATGAACAAAAGTTGTCCTGTTATATTTCCCATATTTTATTCAGAAATATAAATAAATATTCAAATAATATTTATTTAATGTTTAATATTGTTTTAAACAAAATTCATATAAATGCATAAAAAATTATTTTATGATTCAATATTTTCCAGAATAATTAAAATGTATTAACTGAAAAGATCAGTTATAGTAAATTTATTTAAACAGTAAATGTTGGTCATAAGATAAACCCTGAAGTTTGATTGGTTACCGCAGGCAACGGCTGAAGTGCCGACCAATCAGCTTCTTTAGCGCAGCGTTAGCCCCGCCCACCGAAACAAAATACAGAAAACCTGAAACAATTGAATGTTTTCAAAGCATATTTCAGTTAACATATATTTTTATTAAACCACTTACATAAACATGTATTTATGTGTAATATTTTAGTGCTTTTGGCTCTTAATAATAATAACTTTACATTTTAAACGATGCGACCGGCTTTGATTCAGGGGAAATTTCTCCAGAAAAATCTGAAAAATGTTTTGCTGTGAACCTCAGAGGAAATCGTCCGGTACCTTCAGGTTTTTGCACAGATCTTCACAATACAGAAGGATAATGTAAAAATATATTTTTTTATAAATAATGCATATAGTGCTGTTTGTTTGTATGTTATCCCTAAAATGTAATCAGCATCACTACAGTCGCTGTGAATTAATTTATCCATCTCTGCTGCCATTTAAACCCATTTAGTGAATAATAAACGCTCTGACTGCATCTAAACGTTACATTTCTCCTCCTGTGGGATGTTTCTGTTTTTATTTAAAGAAAAATAGGTTATCAGGATAATTTTTATTGAAAATGTTTTTTATTTTCTTTTAATGAATAATTGTCCAAAACCAATAATTAGTTTTTCCATCATGTTGCAAACCGACCACTAATGTACATGAAATATCATTAATATTATACGTCTACTTTATGTTTCTTTAAACTGTTCAGACCTTTTAGCATCGGGATAAAAAATACTGAAAAAAGAAAAGTGTGTTTTTAATTTATTTCCTGTTATATTCCATATAACTGGGCATTATTACTGCATGAATGGATTTCTGTGTTAGTCATAATGGAAGCTATGCAGCAAAAGCTACAATCATGATATTGTAAGATAATGTATATGTGCTGAGAAAATATACAAGTTTTATTGATTATCTCCATAACGACAATCCTGTACAGATGTTGGTAGTTTAGATTAAAAACTGTTTCCTGTATCGTTATAATCATGTTGTTGGTGCCATTAAAACATGAAATCATGTTCCACTTCTTTATTCAGAGGCATTTTTTAAAACTGCATGAATTATTTTTAGGATGTTTTTGGCTCAAATCTGATCAAACAAATACAGCTAAAAAAATCTGAATATTCCAGTTTTTATTTAAAATGTTCACCAAAATGAGAAACAGGCTGGAAAAACGGTCCAGAAGGAAAAACTACTTTCTCCAGATGTGGATACGACACGGAGCCAGTTGATCTGGAAACACGGCAGGAAGCAGAGAAAAACGGGAGAAAAAGAGAAAGAAAACAGGTTGGGAAAGAGAAAAAGAAAAAAAACGAGGAAAGAGAAACAATTTTAAAAAAGTGAGAAAAAAGAAGAAAGAACAAAGGAAAAAAATAAGAAAAAATGTAAAAAAAAAAAAGAATAGAAAGGGGAAAAACTAAGAGATAAAGAAAAAGAAAATGGAGGAAAATTGGAAGAAAAAAGAAAATAAAAGGAAAAGTCTTCTGTTTTCAGTCTGGTTGGTTTTTTGTTTCTTGATTCTCAGCGTCTGAGGATGATGAGGAAAACTAGGAGGAAGAGGCGAGGCGCTGAAAGATGTGATGAGTTCACCTGGCTGGACAGCAGAACATGGGCAGAGGTCAGAGGTCAACCGGTGAACGTGTCGGAGACAAAAGGAGGACAGACATCTCCTGTTCTGTCATTACCTTCAGTTTCTAAAGTTTAAATAAAATATTCTGATTTCTGGCCCGGGTCTCAGCGATTCCGGTCCAACACCTGATGACTGTTAAATCAAAAAAGTTTTCATTCATATAGCATATTAATTTTACTATAGCCAGGCTGTTTTAGCAGACAATCATACGAAATGACAAAATGGTGTTGCAAACTATGTATATATTAGTAATTACTGAAATTGTTTAATTAAGAACTATTTTAAAAAGAAATCTGCATTTGCTTCACAAATGTGTGTAAAACTTTGATATTACACTAGAGCAGAAAGAAAATGCTGTCTCCATTAAATAAGAAATGTAATTAAAATCACACGTGAATAAGTTTGTTCACGCGATAAGTCATTAAAATATTACTTCCTTTCATCGTCTTCGTCATTTCCGCCAGTTGTTTGATCACATGACTGCTGTGACGCGGAAAAAAGTTTCTACGCTAATTTCTATACAGCCGAAGGAAACAACTCATCCTAGTACAAAACGAGTTTTTTTAATTGGCGTGTTTTGATGAAGCGAATTTATTTTTGTAATTTTACGGTGAGCGGCACACTCACTTAACCAGGCGGAAGAAAAAGTAGTTCCCACCAAACCGTCTTTTCTAGGAAATATCTTAATAATTTAACGTACTCTTGTTAAGATACATTAGGTCAAATGACTTTAGTATTGAAATTATTTATCCCTGGATTTGAGAATCAATTTTAACGCCTAAATCGATATTTACGTGTCTGGATGAAGATACCAGATTCCTGCGCGCCTGAGTCAACAGCAGCTGCGGTGAGTGACGAAGGGAAGAAAGAGCCTTTTAACTTCATCGAAAAGGAGTCAGTGACCATGAAACACACACACACACACACACACACACACACCCCTCTGCTCAGAAACCAGAGAGACGCGGACGCACGCTCACCTGCAGCGCACATGCAGATGAGAACAAGCGGACACCTGGCTGCTGTGTTTGCATTCCTCTCCCTCTAATCATCCTCCACTCCGCTGCCACAAAACCTCCATTAAAACCGGCAAAACAAAAACACAAAGAGAGGCAGCGGGCGGCTTCCACCGGGATGAGGAGAAACAAAGAGATGCGGCTGAGAGGAAGGAAGCCTCGGCCTTTAACGCCCGCAGCAGAGCCGCGACAGGAGCCTCCTGATCTGCGGTTGTCTTTTCCCGCCACATCCGCCAGGTTTGGGTCTGGGTGAGAGGAAGTAGCGGCCATGCTAGCCCAAACTTTATTCCACATGGTGGGCCAAAATTATAGATCTAAAGTGTGTTTTTTTTGGTCTATTTATTTTAGATAAATAGATGACTATTTATTTATAGTCATCTATAAGCTAGCTAATAAATTTATTAGCTAGCTAATACATTTTTGATTTATTAGCTAGCTTTATCATACTGAATGGATAAAGTCAATATAAGTAAGCATGCTGTTGATTCCATACATAATTAGCTAATGTTAGCATTTGTCTACTGAATGGATTAAGTAAATAAATACCCACGTCTTATTGGCAGTGTCATCATGCTAGTCGCTGTTGCAGGCCAATGATAGCCCCCATGCTAACGTTAACCCAACACTTGTAATTAGCATTTTTAATATATTTGCCAAAATTTGCACAATGAATGAATTAGGTCAATGTAAGAGTGAACATGCTTGTGATACCGCACATGCTGCCAACCACATTTTAGTTAACCGTAGCATTGATGCTAATTTCCAGCTGACATGCACACTTTGGCAGGCAACGTTTAAAGTCTTTAAGAAATTATCTAGTTTTGATTTAAAATGTCATCCAGTGTTAAATGTTCATTAGAATTTAAAGTTTGTTCTCAAAACAACAATATTATCGTTTAGCACAGGGGTGTCCAAACTTTTTGCCTCATTGGCCAAAATTGAAGTCTCAACAGTCTGTTGTCATCTAATAAATAATTTTGATTTAGCTATGTTTAAACTACTGAATGAATTAAGTCAATACAAAATAAACATGCTAGTTATTCCACACATTTAATCTAACTTTAGCATGTTGGCTAATTTTAGTTTATACAGTAATGTTTGCATCCTGAGTGGAGCAAGTCGCTGTTGCCTCTGCCACATCCTACCGACGGTGTCAACATGCTGGTAATGGTCCCTTAAAGCTGCAGTAACTTTTATAATGAAATGCTTTTTACACATTTGTTAAAATTATTGTTGACACTTTGAACACTCTTCATCATCCTCCACCACAGCATGATGCTGCCACCATCAAGCTTCGTAAAGATGCTGTTTTATTCTCTGAGCCTTCACAGAAGCGCTGCAGTTAAAGTCAAACTGCAGCTGCATGTCAATAGTTTTATTACTTTGACTTGGACTTGTTAAGTGTGAACACAAAGTGTTTCTGCTAGAGCTACTTTACTTTATTTGCTCTTTTCACATATAAGTCATTCTGCCATTGAATAAATGGGAACACGGAGTTCCAGTTTGAAATGACTGGAAAGAAAAAAGAAAATCTCAGGTTGAAGCTCTGTTCTTATCTTATACTGAACAAAATAATCTGTTCTAACGATAAGAAGTAAACAAACGTTTCCCTCTTTCTCAAGTTGTTTCTGCTTATTGGATGTAGAAAATTAAGCTTACATGAAAAGTTACTTTTAAGTTGGTTTTGTCTTAAAGTGTACTAAGATATTTCCACTAGAAATTACACCAAAATACTCAGTAGGATTTTGTTTTTGCAGTGTAAATTAAACGTCTTGATGTTTCAGCTGTTGTTCAACTGGAACAGTAGAAATCTCACTAATATTACTGATGAGGCAAAAATCAATTCACATAAGAAGATTCTCACATTTCATTCGAAATCTATTTAAAAAAAACCAAAAGATCTGTCTGTCAGCCTCCATTTTGTAACGTCGCCATGGTAACGTTGGAACGTCGTTGCCATGGCGACGTATTGGAACATGCGAAAAATAAGAGATTTAACTTTTTTTTCTGCAAGGTTGGAAAATGTAAGATTAATGTTGAGATTAAATGTTTGATGCAGATTGAGGCTTTTTATTTGTAATCAGAGTAAAATTATTTCCAAAATAATTTTCTTAAAATGGAAAATATTAAACCTGCTGCTGGCTAGTCTGAAGGAGCGGAGTGGGGGAGGAGCTGCGCCTCGAAGGCGGGGCTAGGGCCACCCAGCAAAACCCTAGGTTTGTTTTTGATGAGGAAAAATCTTTAGAACATGATGGAAGGCTAAAAACTGAGTTAATTTTACATGATACCGGCCCTTTAAGAAGACTGGAGCAGGTCAGGAGGATCCTTTGCTCACCGATGGATTGAAACTGAAATCATTTTGAACTGAATTGTTAAGAGACGGTAAAGAACCGACATTATTTTAATGGTTTGTTTTAAACCAACATTATGAGGTAAATCTGACCTTCATTGGCTGCAGTTTAAACTTCAGCATCACTTTGAGTGTTAGACTTCATTCGTGATGAAGATCCCAGATGACGCCGTGGGCTCAGGCTGCAGCCGCTAACAGACAAATGGCTCCAGTGTGAAATCATTTGGGTCGTGTCATGTCCTGCCTGAAGGGATTACACCTCCAAAGGTACGAGGCTGAAACGCCAAGCGACAAAGTGTGAAGTCTGGATCAGATTAAGAGGGAGGCTTCTTTCTCCCCTCACACATGCACGCACACACACACACACACACTGTGATGGAGCTGCAGAGGCAAACAGCAGAGGACAGTCAGTGGGAACATGCTGCTGAATAATTATGGCTGACATCAGAACAGTTTGCTTTAGCTCTCTGAAGTAGCAGAGCTCATTTGTACGGCCTGCAGCGACACGTGAAGCTGCAGGAGAGAAAGTTTAAAAACCCGTTATTCCTTATTACCAACATGAGGAAAAGATTACGCTGATTTAAACGTCTCCACTCAGTGTGACACATTAGCAGTGGGTTTTTATTTTTTACAAATGTGAGCAAAACTTTGTCAATATTCAGCTAATGTTGAAAAAACACAATTTCACAATTGCAATGTTTCCTTTAAATAAGGAATGCAAACAAAATCACGTTTGTTCACGCAGTAAGTCATTAAAAACATGCTGCGCCATCGTCCTCTAACCACTTCCTGCCGTCTGTTCTTCATGGTTTCTGCCAGTAGTAACTTCCTGTAGTTCATCACATAATTTGATTGATGCAAAAAGTTGCTTCCATTCTATTTTTGCAAAATAAGCCAAAACGTTTTGTTGAAAAATGATTTTTCCAAATTAAGTGACTTTGTTGTAATATAAATTTTTTGCTGCTCGACGGTCAGTGGAAACTTCTGACAGCTCAGCCGCCTTTCTCTTAAAAACAGGAAACTGCTTCAGATCTCACTGGAGCGTGGAAGAGGATCAGCTCCAGAGACTCGGCACAAAACCCTCCTGAACAGAGTGCAGTAAAAGGCTGGAAGTTGCGTGCGCCGGTCCAGAACACACACACAGCCACACCTGAGCCGCCTTCAATAGGCGTTATTCAGCAGCCTGACAGCCGGGACAATGGCGCCGACCGCGGCGGTCCGCTGAGGAGGAACCGACCTGCCTGAACACATCGGGCCGCCGAGGCTTTCCGTGCCGCCGTGACTGCAGGTGATATCCGGTTTCTGAGTGGATACACTCCCTTTGTCTTCACTTGCAGCTGTTTTGTAACAGGTTTGAGGTGAAATAACAAGTTGGCGAAACGCATCCGGCACGCCTGGACTCCGGCTGACGGCGCTCAGACGGATTCCATCAGACAGGATGAGGGAATGTTATTGCAGCATCTTTCAGCCAAACGTTTACATGTCATCGTCTTTTGTGTGCCAACTAATTCCAGCTCGGCTTTGCAGATGAAACGGTTCCGACTTCAGCGCAGGAAGCGCCACGTATCTAAACCCCAACATCCCATAAACATGAAGCAAAAACTGTTTTTCAGTGAGCCATTTAGAAAGTTTTCAGAAATAAAAAGAGCTCTTAGGGCCACACCCACAAATCCAGTTGAAAGGTCACTGAACAATTCAAGATGGCGGCCATGGCCATCAAGGAAAATGTTTCTTTGCATTAAATTTACCAATATTTATCATTGATGAATACTTCTGGTGTCAAATTGGACATAATTGGTCTGACAGAAACCATATTTACTGATTATTTTTCATGATGGCCACTGTGGTTGCTGTGAATGTCTGGTGTTACTTCGTATCCTGCACACTGAACCACAGAATCACACGTTTCCTTTTCCTGCTGCACTAAGTTCAGCATCATTTACTGCCAGTGGTGGGCACAGCTAACTAAAAAATTAGCTTTGCTAACTAGTTTGCTAAACAAGAATAGTAGCTCCACAAACGCTAAATCTCTGAAAATAAAATGCTAGTGGAAACAAATGCTAAAATGCTAAACACCTAAAAAATGATCAGAAGCTAACGCGAAGCTGCTAACCACATCAAAAAATTACTAGAAGCTAATGCTAAACTACTATTTTATTGGAGGCTAACGGTAAACGTAAAGACTTATTTTGAAAGAGCTAAACTGATCCGCACATAAAATAGTCAGCAGAAGCTAATGCTAACTGTTCATTTCCTCAGGTTGACGATGGACGAGTCTGTTTAGTTTGCAGAATATTTAAAGTTGAAGAGCAGAAACAAAAGAGCTGCTTTAGCTGCGATCGAACCATTTCACTCAGACTCCAAACTCATTTCAATTTATTTCATTTACAGTTCGACAGTGAAGAGCAGTTTGTCTCATTTCATGTTGGGTTTAAGCTGCACATTTGACATCTTCATGTGCATCATCAGTCGTATCCAAGCAGAAGCGTTAAGGAGGGGGAAACCCCAGGAAGGACGCAGAGTGCCTGAAGGAGGACGACGCTTTGAGCTGAGGCGACTTCCAGGCTGAACTCTGACCGTACGACTCTGGAGTGGAGGGAGAAAAACGGCTGGAGAGCAACAGAAACGATCCTGTTACTCCGAATTTACAACAAATTCCTCATTTTTCAGAAGCACAAAGAATTAATACCAGACACAGGATGTAACATACTTCAGAAAAATATCAGTTTATCTGCTAAATGTCTACAAGGCTCAAAAGTAGTTTTTAACAGTAAGACCTTAAAGATAAGGATAGATCTTGTATTTATCTGAAGTGATAATTGAGGAGATGAGTGAAGCGTTTCACCTGATGGTGGCTGAGTGGGTAGAGTGGGAGGTCAGTGGGTTCTGGCTGTAGGACCTGTGGGTGGCGGGTCCTGAGCAAAACACCAGAGAAATCCACAGTTCACGAATGAAAAACCGCAAATTAAGGTTCTTCAGTCGACTGAAACATCGACCCATGAAGGAGCGGATGGTGTTAAGTTACTGATTATGGCTGGAAATTAATGTTTTTAGGAAGAGAGGTGTCAAAACTCCCTCCACTAAACTTTGAATTTTGGAGAAGTGCTAACTCAGCAGTACTCTCTGTGGCTGTGAGAACATGATGAGCTGTTCAGCTGCGGCGCGTTGGAGTCTGACAGCGACTCACCTGAGCGTCCCTCTGGCAGCGCCGCCATCACCGACAGCCTGGGCGCAGAAATGGGCTGCAGCAGAGGAAAAACGTTTCCTCAGCCTCACTTCCTGCTTAAACTTCAGGGCAACATACTACCTAAGGCAGGGGTGTCCAAAGTGCGGCCCGGGGCCATTTGTGGCCCTCGGATTGATTCTGTGCGGCCCCCAGCCGCAACTGAAAACTGGTCCAAATTTGGCCTGTAGCTGCAGACAGAGACTTTTAATTTGTAATCAGGGTAAAAGAAATGTTAACATAATTTTTATGCAGGAAAATGTAAAGTACAACAGAAAGTATTTGTGGTTTTATAACCAAAATTTATCAAAACATAATAACCAAGTTTATCCAAAGACTTTTACTGAAAATCCAACTTTGCTGCAACAAAATCAGCTTTTATTCTTTCTTTGAAACTTTGATAAATAGCAAATGTTTGGAAACAAAGTGACACAAATCCTGTTTTTATCACTGAAAATAAATGTATTCAGTGGAGCCCAGAAGAAACTGAGACCAGATGTTTTTCTTTTAATACAATCTGCTGCAGCGTCCCGGGGCCAACGTGGGAACGGAAAACTAGCACATTTCTGTCAAAAAATTTAGAAATTTTGAGCATAATTTCATAAACTTTCCAGGAAAAATAAGGAAATTTGCTGGGGGAAAAATATCTAAATTTTAAGTTAATATCAGACATTTTCTAGAAAAAGAACATCAAAATTTTCTTTTGAAAATTTCAAAGTTTTCTGTAAAATTTCTGAGATGAACCACAAAATGTCTGAATTTTTGATGGAAATTTGCTCTTTCTGTCTCTAAAGGCCCTGATAGGCCGTCGTGGAAATCCCTTTTAAGTTTGGATCTACAGAAAATATCAGGATAATTTATTTACTCTATTTTAAGTTGATTTTTCTGGCCTGCGGTTAGTTTTGAGTTTACGATTTTTCCCCACATGCCATAAAGTTTGGACACCCCGCCCTCAGAGATGGGCTTTAAGTGAAGACACCCACTTTCCTGAACAGACTCCTGTCATCCAGCTCCAGGCTTTGGCTGCTGCCACACAGGAAGGCACACTTCATTAGTTCAGCCGCGCCGCATCGCGCCGCTGCCATCACCGCTTCCTTAAACCACAAGCTTTCAGCAAAAGCAACATTTATTCTGCCCAAAGTGAGAAACCCTGAAACTCAAAGCAGTGGAGCGAAGAAAGGCAGAACGCTGCTCACTCTGAAAGTTACAACCTTGTTTCACACGGGTAGAAATTATTATACTGACACTAATTAAACACCAGTAGTAATTTATCAGACGTGAAACATGAGGTTTTATGTCACATAAACACTCACATGTTGGAGGCTGAAGCGTGACGTGGGACGAACACGGGAGACTCGTAGGGAATCTGAAGCACTAAATCCAAACAGAAAAAGATCAGAGGTTTTGACCATTAAAGCGTAAATAATTAAAACTAAAGATTTAAAGTTTACGTCTGTCATGTCATGGTTCCCAAAAGTGTCTCATATTTAGAAAAATGCTAAAGTTTAGATGCTACTGTTAGCTTAATATGTGAGCTATCACTAGCATGTTGCTTAACGCTGACCTTATCAATTCAGTTTAAGTTTAGCTTATAAACCAATATATTTATCAATGATTGGATAACATCTAAGCTAAGCTATGAAGCTAACATTAGCAATGAGGGCTATCACTAGCATGTTGAGCCAAAGTTTGGTTGTATGGAAATAACAGCGTAAAAGCTAAAATGCTAATGTTAGCCAGTATGCTAACATTAGCATCAGTACGCTGGTGCATGCTAACGCTGAGCCACATTAAGAGTCGGATTAATAAATAATGAAGAAAACAACGATGTTCTTCTGTGTTGGTTTCTTCTTTATTTCCTCGTTTACATCCGTTTATGTTTTGCCATATTTTGTTCAGTATTTATTGTTTCTTTCTGCATTTGGCTCGTTTTCAAACCCCAACAGGCCAATTAAGTGCAAAACTATTCACACACCTTAAACTGCAGTGAATGTTATTTTATTTGAGTTATTTTGATCATTTTCAGATGAAAGTAAATTTGGTTTCTTAGAAAGAGTTGAAAGACGTGAGTTGTTGGGTTTTCCTCTAAGCACAGAGTTCTGCCTGGTCAGTAACGGATAAACTGATTAAAACTATTTAAGCTGTTTTATTTTATCCAAACTGGCTGCACATTCATCATCTTTAAATGACCAAATGACATCAGAATCTGATGATAACTTTATGCAGAACATCATAATCCTGGCACATCTACAGAGTAAAGACTCATAACTGACAGTAACATGGAATATCTTTCATGATGTCGGGAAACATTTTGATGGATTTTGGTGTTTTGGGTGTAGCGATGCTCACCTGACTTGTTTCCATGCGGGGTGTGAAGACTGCTGCTGGTTTGAGACGGAGCTTTTAAACTGCAGAAAAAGCAAAATATTCATTTTATTAAACTGCAAAATTATTGATTGGAATCCAACAATAAAAGGCAACAATTAGGTTTAAACTTCCCACTGCAAAATGTAGTTTATACTTTAAAAACCGTCTAAAACTATAATTATGTTTCACTGTGATTTGGAGTATTTCTGTATAATCCAGGTTTTGTTGATGCCTGTTGACTGAAACGGTTCAGGAGCGCCACCTAGTGGAAAGTGGATTTCACTGCATTTATGTTTCTGCAGAATCTCAGGAAAATTTTACAGAACAGAGCAGAAAACAGAAGTTTTCATCAAATATAACAGAAATAATAAAAACATCTTGGGAACGTTCAGGTGTAAAAGTAGAAAAATAACAGATGGTGGATTCATAAAAATAAGAAAACTGAAATTTCCAATATACAGAAAATAAAATAAATACTGCAGTTATTAAAAACAAACCCGGCTTCACAGAAATGTGCAACTAAGTTGGATAGTTTTCTATCTTTTCATTGTAGGAGACGAGTTTAAAAACTGAAACAAAATGTCTGAATATCTTTGCATAAAAATGTTATTAAATGAGTGAAAATATTTAGCAGGATTTGTGGCTCCAGCAGCTCAGGAGAATCTTTACTTTCAGTCAAGATAATCTTCTTACAGTAAATATTATAAAAAGACAAAGTTATCATCTCTTCTGGGCTGCACGGTGGCGCAGTAGGTAGAGCTGTTGCCTTGCAGTAAGAAGGTTCTGGGTTTGATTCCTGGCCCCGGTCTTTCTGCATGTTCTCCCTGTGTGTCTCTGTATTGCCCTGTGACAGACAGGCGACCCGTCCAGGCGACCCGTCCAGGCGACCCGTCGCCGTCCAGGCGACCCCACCTCTCACCTGGAACATTAGCTGGAGAGGCAGCAGCTCCTGACCCACCAAGGGACCAGAGTGTTAGAAAATGGATGGATATTATCTCTTTAAATTCTGGAAATCAGGATTCCTGCACCTTATCTGATTTTCATTCATTTATGAAACTTTGCTTATTTTTTTATTGCCGAGATTTTTTTTTTATGAGGCAAACCAACAAAATTCTTTTTAAGTTTCACATCCGCAATGATTTACACACTTTGTTCTTTCTTTCTTTCTTTCTTTCTTTCTTTCTTTCTTTCTTTCTTTCTTTCTTTCTTTCTTTCTTTCTTTCTTTCTTTCTTTCAAAAAACCTATTTGTTGCTGAAAACATAAACTAAAGTGTAATTTGTGGCCATTTTAACTTTGCTGACTGAGAATTGACGGTAATGCTGATAATGACTCTGGATCAAACGAGCCAGCTGACCTGTGGTGCTGGAGAGAGTTTTCCAGCTTAGCAATGTAAGCCCTCTGATCATTCAGCTTCCTTTAAAAACAAGACAAAACAGGAAATTAAACGTGTGAAAACTTCAGTCTGTTCCATGAAGCTACAGTTTTACTCACTTCCCCATCTGCTGCATTTCTTGCTTTATAGTGGCCAACATGTCTTCTAGTTTATGATTCTGTTAAACGCAGAAAAACAGCAGAATTATCGATTTTTGATCAACACAAGAAAAACTAAAGTCTATAAATGTTTACAGCTGGTGGGAAGAGGCTAAAAACAAATGCACACCACACTTTTCAGAAATTTAACAGTGGGTTATTTAGCTAACAACTATCTGTTGGCTGTAAAGTGACAAAGTCTCGCACCTTTTGCTTGTAGTAACTGAGCAACCTCTTCTGATGCCGGGCCTGAAACGCCACAACCTGGTAGGAAACAACGTGAAATCTGCAAGAACAGCCTAAAATAATTTGATGAAACGCATCTGGGACAGTTATCACAGGACAGTTTGGAATAAATGTGGAACTGTGCAAACTTTGCTGATCTCTGTCAGATGTCTGGTTGCCACAACGCCGATGTCAGAAAACAAAGCCTTCACGTCCGAGCTGCTCTGAAAACATGAACACATGAAACCTGAAGGTGACAACAGCAGAAACCCGAATCTGTGTGGGAATAAAATGTTCTTACTTTGTCAGAAAGAGGAGAAACCTGGCACTGGCTGCTGCATATCAAACACCGGCCGTGGCTGCCTGGAAGAGAGCCGCCCAACATTTAAACGTTTTCATCTTCACCTCTTACACCAGGAGTGTCCAAACTGTAGCTGTGGACAAAAAACCCAACCTAACGTCAAGAACACGAAGCGTCCTGATATCTACTGCAGATCCAACCCTGGAAGGAGTTTTATCAGGAACCTTGGAGATAGAAAAACGGAGTAGACTTCCACCAAAACTCAGACATTTTCTTTAAAAAATTTCAAAAGAAAGTTTTCAACATTTGAAATTCACAAATGTCCAAGTTTTTTATAGAAAATTTCTGATATCTAGGAAAAACATCTAAAAATTTGATTTTTTTTTTCCCTAGAAAATTTCCATGTTTTTTTTATATTTCTGAGATTGCTCTAAAACATCTGGAGGTTTTTGGCAGAAATGTCCTACGTTTTCTACAATGGCTTTAATACGCCGTAGAAGATTCTAGTCTTCAGAGTCTTTTGGGTTTGAATTAATACATTTATTTATTTATAGCCAAGTTTCAGAGACAATAACAGCTGGTTTTGTTGCAGCAAAGTTGGTTTTTCAGTAAAAGTCTCTGGATAAACTTGGTTTTATCTTTTAAAACTTTGCTATTAAACCTTGAATACTTTCTGCTGTACTTTATTTACTTTTTCCTGTGTAGGAAAATTGTGTTGATAACAAGTTTTACCCTGACAACAAATTAAAAGTCTCCATCAGCATCTACAGGCCAAATTTGTATCAGATTTTATTTGTAGTTGAAGGCCGCACAGAATCAGTCCAACGGCCATAAATGGCCCCGGAGCCACACTTTGGACACCACTGCCTTAAGATAAAGTGATGCTACACCCAGAGAACCAAACTGAATAATTTGGGTTTATCAGATTGAATAAAGCAGGATCTCCATCAGTGATTCCTGTTTTTAGAAGTTTCATGAGAAAAGCCAAAATATTTATTCTCCTAAATAAATAAAAGCTGTTTGAGAAGATTTCTTTATTAAGAAAAAGACAAAAACAAAAACAAAGAACAGATCTCAAGTAGAAAATGTGTTTCTGCAGTTCCGCTTTGTGACCAGCAGGTGTCGCTGTCCGTTCAGGCCAGTCAGTCAGGACTTTACTGAATCATTGAGGCTTCTTAGTAAAAGCTTAGGGACAAAATAATACCATAAAAAACCCAAACTTTGATTTACTGTGAATTTTCTCCAGTTTATAAAGATAAAATGATGCATATATATTTAAAGTCTTTGGTGGAGAGAACTACGCTGTCTGCAGAAACCACCAAGCCTCATTCAGGATTTCTCAACCTGTGGTTCCCGGACCACTGGTGGTCCGCATGTAAACGGCCATTTATTTGCTACAGTTAGCTTATCAGAGGATTGTGTCTAAAATAATAACGGGTAAGAGGCTGAAGACCGGTTCGCTCACAAGAAAACAGCCAGAATTACTGATGATCGGAGGAATTCATGTCTGCAGGAACATGTTTCAGTTTCTCAGGGGAAAATACTGAAATTTTATTAGTTTATAACACTATTATGGTACACAGCACAAAAAAACTGGATGATAAAGTCTTCAGTTTGGTGTTTGAATATTTAAAATGTCTTCCAGTTACAGAGTTAAATGTTAAAATTTAAAGTTTATTTTTCTTTGAGAATATGTTTTTGCATTATTATGGCATTACTATTGTAAAACTTGAACATGGTCTAAAAGCAACAATATTATTGTTTATAAATTGTTTATAACTTCTTCATCGTCCAACCTGTTATTGTGACAGGCCTTTTCATTAGGATGAACAAAGATGACAACAATAATAAGAGTGTTAAGAGACAAATATGTTTATTTAAAGTTGTATATATAAGATGTTGTGGAGGTCTGTGTGTCTTTGTTAAATAGCTGAAAAAGTTTGAAAACACTGTTAAAGATGAACCATTTTAACAGATTCCCCCTAAACCAGTCTGGAAACGTGTTTTTGATTGTATTTTCAGATGTAAGTTTCATTGATCTGCTTCACCATGATGCTTCCACCGCCATGTTTCACACTGGGCAAAAAACTTCAACTTAACTCATTTAAACTTATGATTTGACTCTGTGACCAAACTAATCGTCTTCATCTTAACCCAGCCAGAATTATGTACAATCAACTGCTGACATCAATCACTTAAAGCCTGAAAGGGGATGCAAACTTTTGAGCAGACTGGCAGGGTCATGAAAAGTGTAAGAACTGAAGGTGTTTTCTACCTTTCTGATAGCAGACGCTGCAGATGACATGGCCGCAGGATGTCACTGCCAGTTTGCGCTCAGGACTTGGGGAAAGAAAGCAGCAGTTGCAGCAGACCCAGCAGGACATTTGAAGACCTGTTATTGAATAAAATTAATGAAAAATAATTTTCGCTGTTATTGCTTTTATTTGTTGTGGCACTTATTGTTTTAGGCTACGTTAATGAGAGCGGAACATTTAAAAATAATCAGCTAATGTTCAGATTGTTTCTAGGTGAAGCTAAATGCTAAGTTAGCATAACGCTGGCTAACATAACAACAATATACAACAAAAATAATTATCAGTAAATATATTTACGACTAATTACCAGTCATGTGTTTATCAGTTTGTAATAAAAAACAACCCTACTGGATCCTTCAGTTTAACTTCACCATCCTTCCTGTTTTAAGTTTCATTCAACAGGAAGTTCGTCTCTTCTTCTTCAGTGAAGCTAATTAGCATTGTTAGCATAATTAGGAAGACCGTTGGTAGCTAGCTCATTAAAACTGTTACCATTCTTACAGGAAAACGCTTTTACCCCCACCTTTGGGTGAGTAGCTAAGTGATATTAGATAAAATATGTTCAATTAAAGTGTATTTTATGCTTAGCGGGTATTTCGCTGTTAAATGTTTTAAATTTGGTCTCGATGTAAATTAGATGTATTAGCTCACCGTTAGCCGCAGCAGTGTGGATTCATCTAGAAGGTTATGTGGCTGTTTAAAGGACTGTTGCGGTTCTGTTAAGACGTTTGCATGCAATCAACACGAATTTAATGTATATCGTTTATTTTTACCATGTTATTAGAAATTCTGGGCTTATAAATTCAAATAATTTGTGTTTGAACATCTCTTTTTCATGACGGTCTGATCTAGTGATACGACTTAAGGCATTTTAAGAACGAGTTTGAATTACTACTGGCATTTCACTTTATCAACAACTCCTGGTGAGGTAAGCAAACCTAGCTGGCAAGCATGGTAGTGGCTGCATTATGCTAATGGTGTTTCTTTTCCTACAAGTGATACTACAAGTGATTTTGGTGCTTTGAATAAAGTGTGTTTAATACTGAAGGTGGAGGACAACTTCTTAATTCACTAACTTTAACTCGCATCAAGTATGAGATGGTGAATTTAAGAAAGGAACCTTTTTTCAATCTCAGCGACTCTAAACTAGGGGTGTCCAAAGTGCGGCCCAGGGGCCATTTGTGGCCCTTGGGCTGATTCTGTGTGGCCCCCAACTTCAGTTCAAATATGATTAAAATTTGGCCCGTAGACAGAGACTTTTAATTTGTAATGAAGGTAAAAATTGTTACCAACAGAATTTTCTCACCCAGAAGAATGTAAAGTACAACAGAAAGTATTTGTGTTTTTATAACCAAGTTTATTCAGAGATTTTTGCTGCAGCTTTTATTCTTTCTGAAACTTGCTAAATATAGCAAATGTTTGGAAACAAAGTGACTCCTGGTGAGGTAAGCAAACCTCTGAAAACACTGAAAAACATTTCCAGTGTTTTTATTACTGAAAATGAAATTATTCACTTGACACCAAAAGCAACATATTTGCTCTTCTTATAGAGCAAATATGAAAAATCTGCTACAGCATATTGGAGAAAAAAAGTAGTAAACTTCTGCCTAAAATATCAGGAACTTTCTAGAAAATTTTTTAGATCAATAGCAGAATTTTTTTCTACAAATTGTTTTTGGTAATTTCTGAATTTCAAATGTCCAGAGATTTCTTTTGAAAATTTAAAAGTTTTCTGGAAAATTTCTGAGATCAATCACAAAATTTCTGAGTTTTTGGCAGAAATGTACTCTTTTTTTCTATCTGCAAAGGCCCTAATAAGCTGTTGTAAAATTCCCCTTTAAGTTTTTGAACTACGATAAACATCAGGATATTTTATTTACTTGATTTTCTGTTGGGTTTTTTTGTCCTGCGGTTACTTTTGAGTTTACAATTTTGGCCCACATGGCAAAAAGTTTGTACACCCCTGCATGTTATATTCAAAAGTCCTGTGAAATGAAGCATCTAATCAAAAAGAGAAACGTTTAGTTTGTTAAACCTTCCTTTATTTTTCAGCCTTCCTTTCATTACCCATGCAGAGTTGTGAACCAGGTCGGATCTCATGTTTTAATTATTGTTTCCCGGTCCTGACGGGATGTTTGTGCCGTACAGATCGGGGAGAAGGCGACATCAGACCAGCTTCTTGGCGATGAAAAAGTCTTTGAGTCGTTTGATCTGCCAGAAACCAACAGAGAGCAGGATGCAGGTTTGGATCACCGCCCACCACAACACCTTGCTGTTGGTTTCCTCACTGATCTGACGGAAAATCTCCTCTTTTTCCTGAACAAAGACAAAGACCCAGACGTCCAGATCAGATCAGGTGTTTCTCTGTCATTCCAGGTGAATGTGAGGTCGATGTACCCGGTTGTACTCCTGCTGCCTGGTGATGTACGTCATCTGGCTGGTCAGGTGTTGCAGATTGCTCTCCAGAATCTGCAGGTTGTCTTTGGTCCGCTCCACGTTGCGATCTACCGAGTGCTCTCCCATCTGAACGTCCAAATGCAGCTTCTGTGGAACAAAGTGGTGAAAACCCCCAGAGTGCATTGCTCTTCTGTTCGGTTTGTGATTGCTGTCTGTGTTTCTCTGCAGGTCTCACCAGCTTTTCTCCAGCGAACACAGAGAACATGGTGGAGTTGGTTTGGAAGCACAGGTAGTGCTGGCCGGAGGCGTGAGCTGTGAAGGTGAATTTACCAAATTTTCCGTAGCGTTTGGACAACTGGACCTGAAAAGGGAAGAAAAATAAACGTAAATCAGGGGTGTCCAAACTTTTTGCCATGTGGTGGCATGCCAAAACACACAAAAACTTTTTTCAGCCCGATTGAATAAATCGAGTAAGATTCAATTTATTCAATCGAATATTTTAGGTTCGATTGAATAAATTGATTTTCAGTAATAATTTGTTTTGTTTCCAAACATCTATTATATTTATCAGAGTTTAAGAAAGAACGTGGCACTGTGGTGGCACAGGGCACAACCCACATGAGGAGGCCCAAGTCCTCAACTCGGCCGTCGCAGGTTCGATTCCCGGCCTGGTGACCTTTGCCACATGTCTTCTCTCGCTCATTACCCACTTTCCTGTCTGAGCTCTTTCAAATAAAGGCAACTAGAGCCAAAAAAAAGTTTCAGAAAGAATTAAAGCTGATTTTGTTCCAGCAAAGTTGGTTTTTCAGTAAAAGTTTCTGGATAAACTTGGTTAAAACTTTGCTGTAAAAGTTTTAAAGTAAAGTAATTTGTACTTTACTTTTTCCTGTGCAAAAAAATATGTTAGTAGTAATTTTTACCCTGATTACAAATTAAAAGTCTGTCTGCATCTACGGGCCAAATTTGTATCATTTTTGATTTGTAGTTGGGGGGCCGCTCAGAATCAGTCCAAGGGCCACAAATGGCCCCCGGGCCGCACTTTGGACCTCTGACTTAAATTACTTATTTATTTGTATCTTTTCTTTGAAACATTTAGTGAAACTGGTTGTTCCTACGAACCAGATCCATCAGATCTAGCAGCTGTTAACGTCCCGATTCTTTTTAATAATCGGCATTATTTCCTGCGTACTTCCTGGTTCGGGTCTCTGACGGTAACCGTGACGCCCAGGTGAGGCGAGTGCCTGAACGCCGTGACGTCCCACGGCTCCAAGAGGAAGTTTCCTGCAGGTGGGAGACAGAGCAGCTCAGCTTCATCCCCCGGAAACAAAAACCTGATATTTAAAATCACTCTTTAGACTTATAATATTTAGATGTTTACACAGAAATAAAACCAACATTTCTAATTTTATTGACAAAATTTAGAGAAATTTTATTAATTTTACTGTTTTGGGGGCCAGACTTTGTTTGTTGTGAATCATATTAATTCTTCAGTTCTTGTGGATGATGATGGTTGCTGGCAGGAAAGATCCGCTGTAGCAGTCTGTGTTGTAGAAGGAGCCTCTGACTCGAGATGCTTTGTTTTTCTAAATGTTCAGGGTTTAGAAAATCAGTTTCCTGATTTTATGTAAAACATAAATCCTTATTTAGTTCCTCTCCTCTGATTATGATCTCATTGAAAGCGTATTTTCTCCTCCTGTCTGATTTCACTCTGAGTAGTGTTTCTCTGTAGATGTCAGTGAGGCTTATATTGTGTTATTTTTTCAGGAAATGATTGTCAGGATGATTTTTGGAGCAGAAACAGCTGGAAATCTTTTTTTAATCTGAAACGTATGGATATAAGCCGATCAGGTGTTTGTTAGTCTGGTTTGGAGGTGCGCCCCTCACCTGTCACCAAGGTGTCCTCAGGAACCTCCTCTATGATGCATTTTTGCTCCTGCTCTCCCAGGTCGAAGTACATGGCAGCGGCCAGCGGCAGGTAACCCAGGAGCAGGAAGACGACCCGACGGAAACCCATCCTGAATGATTTTCCCCGTCCAGACGGAAGAACGTCGTCAGGGTGGTGAGTTTACAGCCCAGAGGCGGTTTGAGCTGAGAAACCTGCAGCTGCTGCACCATGTGACGAGTCTTTATCGCTGCCTGTGATTGGTTGATCTGAGAGCCAATAGAAAAGCTGCAGCACACATTCAGACATCTGAAACTCATCCTGGTTCCTGGGCTAAAACAAAAGATTTAGCAGCACATACACTTTATGATGCACAACTCTGAGACTTCAGTCTAGTTTTTCTCTGGACTCATTTATAGATGGACATGTTTGCATGTGCACACTTCTTTTTTTTATCTATATTTTTATATTTTTGATTGCTTTTGGCCGTATTTGTAAATATTTATGGAAAAGTTTGTCAATTGATAATCTCTTCTTAGGGATCAATATTCTATTTTCTATTCTATTCAGACTGCAGAGTCAGAAATAATATTACTGAGGCCATTTTACTGAATTTGACTCTAATTACATGAACTTTTGTGTTTCATATCATCTTTATATCCATTTGATTTGTATTTTTTCCAAACAGAAGCAACAAACCAGTCAGTCACAATGAATAATAAAAACTCTTCATGTGGTTCTTTCACACTTTATTAACTTTAGTAACTGCATCTGTTACAATTTTCTACTGCGTCATATAAAACTGTTTTCTATTTGTCTCAGTAATGTAGAGGAATACAGTTGCTAACGTTCGGATTCGTTATGCTGTACAGAACAGGTTAAAATCCTGTCAATAAATATAAACAACAGAAACACAGAATGTCTGTAAAACATGGCAGCTCTGTCTGGATTTATTTTGGGTCAGATGTAATTTAACAGGGTTTAAATTTGTGTAAAATGTTTTCAGTTTGTCTACTGGCTTGTTGGCCAGAACTACACCCGTTTGGAGCTGGAACCGATCTCAAACCCGACTCGGATCCGACCCGGTCGATCCACAAACAGCCTGGGATTAAACCGCGGACCGTTTGTGGTTCTTGGAGCGTCTGCGCCCGGTCCTTCCTTTCCTGGTTTTCTTCTCCTTCCTCCTCCTCCTCTCCTTCCTGTCCTTTCTCTCCCTCCTGTCCTGGCCTAGTCATAAGCAGTTGTCTGGGAAGCACTTCCTCTCCTCGTCCAGCAGGGGGCAGGCCGCTCCGTTGTTGGCCGGGTGCATGATGACGTAGCGTGTGCGGTGCTGCACACCTGAGTCGCCACACTTCCCTTTGCACAAACCCCAGGGCGACCAGGGGGACACTTCGCAGTCCAGAGGGGTATCTGCAGAGGCAGAGGGGCAATAAACACATGAAACACCCCAAACGTCGCCCCCACAACGCCTTCACTCAAAACAAAGGAACAATGTCTGAGAAAGTAACAACCTGACAGCTGATATTAGAGTGAGAAACAGCAAATGAAACAACTAAATCTAGTTGCAGAATCAAATTTTGCTGGATGATAAACGATAATATTGTTTTCAGACAATTTTCAAATAAAATAAAGTAACACATCAGAGATCAATAAACTTTAAATCCTAGTGAACATTTAACACAAGACCTGGAAGATTTTAAATGTGCAAAATAAATCAACAGGCATAACAACTAAAATGAATTATGAATCTCTGTAAACAAAATTATTCCTCAAAAAGATTCAGTTTAGACCAAAAGCCCCAGACCGAAACTTTATCATCCAGTTTTTGACTGACAGAGAAAAACGATAAATTATGTAAATTATTGAGTTTGTTTTAATTGATTGTGTGATTAATTGATTTATTGCTTGTTGCAACAGGCAATAAATGCACTGATTGTAGTTTTCTGGCCATTGCTGATTACCGATCTATAAAAAGCCTGACCGTCTGCGATTTTGGACAGTGACTGATTTATTTACCTGAAATGTTTCTTAACGTGGCAGGAAAGTTGCTGAGTTGGCAGCAGTGGGGTGAATGTTGTTACCTACAATCGATAAAATTATCCTTCAAAACAAGGTTTGGTTGAGACCAAAGCACCAGACTGAAGACTTTGACCATCCAGTTTTTGGTAGAAACAGAGAAACGATAAATGGGAATAATTAGTTTTAATTTATGGTGCGTTGAATTGATTTTACTGCGATGACCCCGGCCTAATGTGAGAAAGTCCTGGCAGTGATCGAGCTGCTTGATTTCACCTTCATTCGCTGATGAAAACGTCTGTTTTTGTCATGTCTTCTGCCTGTAAGCTGGAGGAAAGGCCTCACACACAGCCTGCCTTTGGTTTTGTGCTCCGCTCTGCTGCCTGATGCGACCAGGTTTCCAGCTGATTCGTATCGCAGTCGTGGGTTAGAGTGGAAAAGCAGAAGGCCTGGAGGCGGGCGGAAGCTGCTGAGTTTAACGTTTCCTTCATGCATTAATGGGAAGCAGCAGGATGAGCTGATAAAATACTGCAGAGATGCAAACCGATGGGGTTTATGTCTCTGATGAAGGTCAAAGGTCATGTTTTAGGAAAGACGTTAGCAGAGATGCTACGGACGAATGGAAGAGAAGGATAAACAGACGGATGGAACCCTGGGATTCGGGGCAGGAAACCCCAACAGCTTCTTGGATGCTGTGTTGTTTGTTGTGGTGTTGTCATGGGAACCGGCTTGTATTTAGTGATGCTGACTCAAACCTTCACTGTCACGGTGAACTATAAAACCGGTTCAGGCCCATTGAGAGGTTCTGAGTTTGTTTCAGATGTTTTAGCTCTTTTTACCAACTTGTTCCGTTATAATTGACTCTTAATGGCCGCCATGTGTCAGCAGAGCAGGTGGTGATTGGTCAGCTTCAACCTGTGCAGCGTCATCTCTGCTGCAAATAATTGGTCCAGCCGTCGTTTTTATGCACTGAAGAGCAGCTGTGGCCCCGGCGCCCCGCTCTCTGCTGGGCTCTCAGGTTTCTGCTGCCATGTAATTGGATTTAAATGGCTTGAAATGTTTTCCAAATGCTTGCATGAGTCAGAACAGCCATGAACCGAGGCTGGGTTTGGGTTTTCAGCACATTTTGTTTATTTTGGTTTTAAAGTATTTCTATGCTAATCCCTCTGGTTGCATGTTTTTCATATTTCCCATCAGCCACTTGAAATTTAGGATGACGGACATTTTTCAACATGGCTGCCTTTTTAAACCAATTAATTCCATAAAATGTTACAAATTTTCATGACTTTGTCACATCATCTTCTTTTAACTTTGGTCATCCCATTTCTGAAACTTCAAAGTAACAATATGTAGCAAAATCAGGACTTTGCTGTTCGCTAGTCGGAGATGAAGAGATAAAACCAGAGACAGTTGGCGTTAATGCTTAGCGTTAGCTCCCGCTTTTTTATGTGTTTAGTGGTTTAGCTTTAGCTTCTGGTCATTTTTGATTGTTGTTTAGCATTAGCTTCCCCTATTTCTTTCACATGTAGCAGTGTAGTGTTAGCATCTGCTAATTTTTGAGTTTAGTGGTTTAGCATTAGCTGAGATTCTAGATTAGCAAAACTGGTTATGTAAATAATATATTTATAATGTAATAAATTAAACACAGGGTCGCTTTATATCTTTACCATATGCAGACATGGCTTCCACTGGATTGCATCTAATAAATCTCCATAAATGTGTTTAAAGCATCACAGGAATATTCGGTCTCACTGATCAGCTTGTCTTCGATCTCGTTGCCCGTTGGCAGCAGGTTGGACTGCGTGGGCTCCAGCGGCAGGCTGATGATTTGATTCGTTTTCTTGATTTTTGTCAGCGTGACCTTGGCGATCGGCGGTAAATGCTTCAGGCGGGGATAGAAGAAGGAGTTGGCCGGGTGGCTCGGGAAGGACGAGGTGATCTGTGGAAAATGACACACTATGAATCCCACAGGTGTTTACGACACTTAGGCTCAAAAGTAATCACAGGTCAAAACAACCGACTTAAAATCAAGCAAATAGATTATCCAGATACTTATAGTAGATCCAAAACTTGAAAGGGATTCTTTCAAGAAGAAAAGGAGTAAATTTCCCCCAAAAACTCTGAAATTTTGTGATTAATTTCAGAAATATTATAGAAAAATTTTCTAAATGAAATTTTTAGCACTGGAAATTTTTGGAGTTTTTTTTTTTGTAGGAAATTTTCTATTACTAATCTAAAAATTAGATTTTTTTTCTAGAAAATGTCAGAGTTTTATGGCAGAAGTTTACTACTTTCCCTCCTGAGACGCTGCAGCAGATTTTTCATGTTTGCTGTAAAGCATCTAGTTTTCAGTTTCTTTTGAGCTTTATTGGATACATTTATTTTCAGTAATAAAAACAGGATTTGTGTCTCTTTGTTTCAATGTTTATTCAAGTTTAAGAAAGAATAAAAGCTGATTTTGTTACCGTAAAGTCGGCTTTTCAGTAAAAGTTTCTGGATAAACTTGGTTTTATGTTTTCTTAAAACTTGGTTATAAAAACACAAATACTTTGTGTTGTACTTTATGTTTTCCTGTCTCAAAAAATATGTTGTAACAATTTTTACCTTCATTACAAATTAAATGTCTCCAAATTTGTGTCATTTTTTAATTGCAGCTGGGGACCATGCAGAGTCAGTTCAAGGGCCGCAAATGGCCCCGGGCCGCACTTTTAACACCCCTGATCCTGTAGTCTGTAGTTTTCACCGAAGCAGAATAAGAAGTTAAGTGAGACGGCGTCTGATTTGGTGAAAATCTGGTTCTGGCTCAGGAGGTTTGTGGGTTTTGCCGCTGCTTTCGGCTCACCTGCGTGATTCTGTCCTGCGGGATCGTCTCAAAGTTTGGGGAGGAGAAGGTGAATCCGCTGTCCGTTCCCGCGTCGTACGGGAACAGCTCCAGCGTCACTTTGTCCTTCCAGCGGTCGCCGTCGCACAGATCCACGCCGTCCACGCCCACGAACCAGTCCGGGCTCGGCACCAGCCGCACCATGAACGACAGCTGCCACGAAAGAGAGGAAGAGATGAGAGCGCCAAGCGGAGCTACAAAACAACGACCGACATCACAGCTGGGCTCGGCTCTGGTTCCTTAACCAGCTCGGTCCTGAAGATTGAGCCGATTTCAACCGTTTCAGTTTGGATTTTCTGAGAAAGGAGCCACAGAACCGAACCGGTGGTCCAGTAACGTCCAGTTTTGGATCCAGCTGCATGTTAAAGTCTCATTCTGCAGCAGCCTGCGTGGCAGCAGCGTGCAAACAGCTGGACAAGAACGGCGCTGGGACGAGACGCTGCAGACTGGAGGTCCAGAAAAAATCCGTTCTTAGAGGATTCCCAGTCCTCCCAGTTCGAATCGATTCAAAATGATCAAAAATCTAATTTAACCTGCTTAACTATGTGAAATTGTATTTTGGATTATTCTTATTTAATTCAAATCTAGGCAGCTGGACTAGTCTGGACTTTGACTAGGACATTCTGACCCATCCCATTGCGTCCTGCCTGGTTGTCCAGAACCAGAACAGCTGCAGATTAAATGACACTCAGCTGGACTTTGGTTCTGAATTAGGAGGCTGCTCTAGATTTCATTTAGGGTTATTGGAATAAAGAAGACTAAACACAAGTCTGAACCACTTTTTGTTGGTCTGTTTCATAAGATAATAAATATCTTGATGTCTGTGGTTGCAATGTGACAAAATGTGAAAAATATTTGAACATTTTTGAGAGCATTGTGTATATTAGGCCTGTCAATGTTAATGCATGCGATTAAAAAGTTTAACGCGTTAGCGTAACATAATGCAGGTTAATCGGTGGTGTGCTCAGTAGCAGCCATGTTGCCTTGCAGGAAGTTGCTTTATGGTTAGCGTTAGCTTTTGCAAAGTTGTTTATGAGTTCTGCGGTTTAGCTTTAGCTTGTGGTAAGTTATGTGGTTAGCTTTTTAATGATAGCTTCCTGTAATTTTGGGTGTTTAGCGGTTTAGCGTTAGCTTCTGTTGATTTATGTTTCTAGCGGTTTAGCATTAGCTTCTGCTAACTCTTTTCTATTCAGGGTCTTAATAAAGTCCCACCATTAGTGTACAATTATGTTAATTTTTAAAATTAGGGGGAAAGATGCAACAAAAATATGTTTATCAGGATGCTACATTGGGTATTTCCTCGGTAAATGTTTGCTGTGAAATTCTTGGCGCCGCTAAAGCCATCCTGACACCAGCTTGCTGTGTTTGCTGAAGGGTTCCCACGCACTCGGTGACCAGCCTGCATGCCGCCAGTTGTGGGGAGACTTACATAGGAGTGCCTGGCAAACGCCTCAAACTCGGCGTCCATCTGGCCCGAGCCTCCCACGACAGCAGGAGCGGAGAGGATCCCATAAACGCTCTGGATCCGCTCGCCGGCCGTCTCCACTTCCTTCATGATCGTCCAGGCCTCGCCTTTTTCCGCAAACTCCCTCACTCCGTTGCTGGCGAACTCATTACTTTGCCACATGTGGTAGTCGGAGCTGTGGGTCACCCCTGGAGCGCAGAGAGGAGGAAACTCAGGATTTGTATAATTGGTGCAACAGGTTTATGTACATCCATAAAGGTCAATGAATAAACAGCTTCTGCTGTTTTATTGATCAATCAATGCTTCTATCAATCACGTTTTATTTGTATAGCACATTTCAGCAGCAAGGCATTTCAAAGAGCTTTACATCATAACAAACTAAAACACAAAGTCATGCAACATAGAATCAACAATCAGAACATCACATTAAGTCGTTAAATTCGTAATTGATCACGTTTCAAAAGCAACTGTGACCAGGTGGGTTTTTAGTCCCAAGTTTATAGGAAGTCAGTGTTTCAGCTGTTTTACAGTTTTCTGGAAGTTTGTTCCAGATTTGTGTGCATAGAAGCTGAATGCTGCTTTAGGCCTTAAAATGTCTTTCATTAGTTATTAGTAATGTAATTTGTCCTTAAATACGTCAATCACGGGACTTCTGTTTGGCTAAAGCTAACGTTTGAGCAGCGTTAGACTACCGCTAACTAGCTGCTAATTTACCTTTGCTAGCTAATTAGCTTCTCTTCAGATTTATTGTCAGCTGGCTGGATGATGTTTGTCTCTGCGACTGTCTCTCTTCTGTTGCCAAACCATACAGGTGATTTCTGTGACATGAAAACGTCTTAAATTTGATTCATGAGACCTGCAGATACCTGAATTCAAATGATTTTCTTCTGAATACCAGTAATTATCAGAGTGTGGAGTATATTTTTACCGATCAGGTTGGACCACTGTGCAGGCGGGCGGTAGATGGGATACTGCTTAGGAAAAGCTGCCTGGGTCCATTTCCCTGTGAACGTGAGGCTGTAGTGGGCGGTTTCTGAGGCCGTGCACATGGGGACGTCCGTTGGGACCGGCATCGACCCAACGGCGGGGATGAGAGTTAGCATCAGGACAAGCAGGCGACGGAGGGCGTCAGAGAAGGAGGGCGTCTTCCTGCTGGCTTCCATGATTGGTTCGGGTTGGAGAAGGATTGATGGTCTGAAAAAATACAAAACACTTGGTGGAGAAAACGCCTTTCAGTCCAACTCAGACGCATCGGCTCTTGTTGCTGATGTTTCACAAATTCAGTGGCATCTAAAGAGAAAGGAGTTTGTCTCTGATGTTGATTTTGTGTTTTAATGGGTTCTGTGAATTGAAATAGACCAGCGCCTTTCAGTTCTTACTAAACCAATCAAAGCCTAACCAATCCTGCTCAGCGCCGACAGGTCTGTACACACTTCTACCTTTTACTGCTTTATTTTACTTCCAAAAACTGCTTCATAAACATGTACTCAAACTGTCACATGTCAGCCTGTTGTTCTTTCTATACTTAAGTATTTCTATGAATTATGACAGCAAATAATCATACAAACATTCAGATTTCATGTTTAATTTAATCCTGTACAAGACACTTGTTTTATGATACACTACCTTGTTTTTGTTCTGATTCTGACTCCTAACCCTGAATAACTCGGGGCGACCGCCTGCTGGTGGATATCATTCATTGGAGACACATGAATCTCTTTCCTTACAGTAGACTGGATAGTTTCTAGAAAGTGGCTGTAAATAACCCTCAAAGTGGGAACGAAATGTTTCCAATAAGTGATGCAAGTACCAAACATCACAAACGAAGAAGAATCCATTTTGTACCTGTTCTCGCCTGTTTCACGTTGGTCTGAATTGCGATTTTTCACCAAAACCAATCCAGTTGTATCTGATAGTTGTCAAAGTGTCTGCAGTCAAAGCTCGTTGCTGTTAGCTGGGATTTATCTGCTTCCTTCGTCTGCTGACCGCGGCGGCGGCCATCTTTACTAAACGGAGCCCTGCGGGTGACATCTGCGTTCTTCGTGTTGGGGTCGTAAACCGTTCACACAGACGTCTGTTTGCAGTTGCTTTTAATTAGAAGCATGAGCGACCATGCAACAAATCAGATTTCAGCAAGAAATCGTGACCTGCTGAGTGAACGTAGCTCATGATAAACATGAAACACCGACTCTAAGCAGAGGAGGAAGCTTCTGCTTTCATCCTTCTAACACCTTTGCAACACTTAGCAACTTGGAGCATGATCAAAGCAACTTGCCTGACATCTCTGGGGACATGGACCCGGACATTGAGCTGAACAGATTGACTCACACGTCCCAACTGCCCCATTAGCGACTTTAACTGCCCTGTTAGGGTAATTGTTCTGGCTAAAGCTTATAAACCTGGTGCCTCCAACCAGGAAGTGGATTGGATTAACTGAATCATCTTCCAAAACCAAAAGAAGTCAATTTGTCTTCTACTGGACCAATGAGGAACGACTGCTCTGTTTATAATAAACATTTAAATTAATAGCATGAATCCAGAAAGCAAACCTGCTGAATATTTTCAAAGTTAGTTTTAAACTGAACTCATATTTACACTAAAATAAAACTCCTACAAGTAATCTTTACTGCTGTGGCCTATCACGGTAGGCGATAGCTACCGTGATAGACGACGGTAGGCGATAGCTACGGTGATAGACGACGGAAGGCGATAGTTACCGTGATAGACGACGGTAGGCGATAGCTACCGTGATAGACGACGGTAGGCGATAGCTACCGTGATAGACGACGGTAGGCGATAGTTACGGTGATAGATGACGGCAGGCGATGGCTACCGTGATAGACCAGAGCTACGGTTCCTGTTCCCATGTCTGGGACTTTGCAATGGTTTGAAGAGAAATTTGAGTCTTCCTCCTGAACCGAGAAGGCAGTGGAGAACTTTTGAGAGTAGTCCTCAGCTATAATCACCTGTCAGTTTGAGAGTTCATGCGTTCAGCTAGACACAGATACATAATTCCACCTTCCTTCATAAAACTGCAAAGACTTTTCATCAACCAAGTAGTTTAATGTGCAACATCCATGATTTTTGTCTGATTATCTGGTTGCTTTCTGACTCTTCCTTCCTGACTCATCCATCTCCGTTTGCTTTCTGTCTCGCTCTGCTCACCTTAGACGTGCCGGTATGTTTGCATGCAGGCCAAACAGCTTCCCATCAGTAACAGACCCAGGCTTTAGTTTGATTAGGCCGTGTTAGCACCAGGTGAAGGTGAGGAGATACTCACTGGTTCCAGCAGTGGATGAGTGGAGAGGAGAGCTGGAGGAGGGGCGGGGGAGCAGCGGTCCTGGCTGTCGGGATGAGTGACTGCGAGGATCCAAACTCCTTCTCGCCTATTTATGTCTTTCAGGAGGTTCGCCCCCTCCTGCTCCCTCCCTCCTCTACCCTCTGTTCCTCAGTGACGTCCCTGCCCCCTTCATGCTCCCTGACTTTGGCTCTGTCTCTCTGCTGCTCCGTATAATAGGACATTTTAATGGATAATGTGCCCAGCAGATTGGGGAATTTAACCCAGTTTGCTTTGAGGCTTTTTGAGTCATTTCACAGTTTGACTCTGTCGGTCTCTGAACCACAAGATAAGATCGATGAGGCTGAAATTCTCTCATGGTCAGCTTTAGAGGGGACTTCAGCAGAGGCTTTTTGATGTTAGGGTTGATATTTGAACCTGAAGTCTTTTAAGGTTTCCGTTGGTACCTGATTGCCAATGCCAGAAACCTTCCTCTCAGAACAAATGACCCGTAAAGTAACTATTTATGAATGCCTTTGAAGAGCCTCTTTGATTGTCGCCTTGTGGTGGTTTTGGAGACTCGTTGACCTGTAGATGCAACTCTTTGCTGCCGTTCTCCAGCAGTGAGCTTTGCAGATGTTTCTGTCTCTATTACCATCGTCCTTACTGTCAATGGTGACAAACTGGTAGCCATCCAGTCGCCAGTTCATATAATCTGGATCTGGATCTGGTGTCCTGTCACTCGTTTTGAACACAGAGGAAGGAAGTATGTTTCATTTCTCATCAGTTTTGTTGATCCTACTGTTTGCTAGAAGCTTAGGGAATACAACCAGTTTGGATAACTTCACTGCCCACTTTACACGCTCTAATTCGTGTCAGAAAAACAAACTTAGCCGCATATCATCATATGAAGAACATTTCAGCAGTTTTCTTCAAATCTGCTTCACAACTGGATTGAATTAAGTGACTGTAAGCGATTCTAGACCGCTGTGGTGTCCTTCTGTTGTCAGACATTACAAGGCCGCCTGAGGGAAATGGAAAATACCAAAGTCTCTGGCTGTGCCGTACGCTGGGCTAAAGTGGCGCGTTCGAGTCAGACAGCTTTTCTCCTGAAACTTATTCACAGATCAGGATTGTTTCAGACAATATAGAAGAAGTTTACAGTTAGTGGAGCAGAGCTAGGAGCTTCTCCTCAATACACAGCTGTTACCAACAGTCAGGGTTTCCTTTGACTAGGCCACACAAACCAGTCACACAGTCAGAGATAGTACCTGCTAGAAGGTAGAGAATTTACATTAAAGTCTGGAAATATGTTGATACATAAAATATGTATTCTCCCTCAACAAGAGTCTGTAATTTGGTTTCTGTTGCATCTGTCAAGATGCTAGAGAGAACTAAGCAAATTTCTCTCTGTATTCGACAGTGGACTAAATTTGACATAAATACTTCATGAAATATTTTATTCCACTTGATAATTTCTTCGTTTTTATTGTTTTAACTGTCAGAAATCGCAGTGGCTGCATTACCCCGCAGCAAAGGGAAATAATGCCAATAAATCAATGTCATGATAGACATGTGATCAATATCTGATTGAATATTCAATATATATAGTACTCACTGAAAGGAAAGAGTTTAGTTGCTCTGTCTCTCATGGCTAGCTAAGCAAGGTTGGTAGCATCGATTCATCACTCGTTCCTTGGTTACCTAGCAACAACCTGTTGAGTAAATTGCGCAGCAGCGGTTTCAGGCTTCCCGTTGAGTGAAAGCTGCGAATAAAACAGGTAAGGATCTGGCCTCCAGTTTGGCTGGATTTCAAATATTTAAAACAAAGCTAATCAATAATTATTTATATCGATTGATAGGAAACGCTTACATCGTGATGAGTTTTTCCAATCCTGTAAAATATCAGTCAGTCAAGTTTATTTATGTAGCACATTTCAGCAACTTAGTTCAAAGTGCTTTACGTCATAAAAGACAGTCAACAACTCAGAAAACCAGTAAACTTTACATTTTCCCAAATTGATTAAAGGTGCACAGTCATCTTGGCGTATGCAAACTTCTGACATTTGGCAAAATGAAATAATTTAGTTCATCCTAACTGAGCTAAAAGTTTCTTCTGAGTTGGCATCAGCCTGGGGCCGACATGTTTCTGTAAATGTGTGTTTCTGTTTGGGCTGCTGGAGGCGACGAGCCGCCCTCCCCTCATGTAAACACCAATATGTCATCAGGCTGAATCAGCTAATGGCCGCCACATGGCTGCGCTCCCCATACAAACTAACCCAAACACCCCCACTCAGCCTGTCTTCACTCGCCTGCCCTTCGTTTTCAGCATTAATTGCTACGCTCTGCGTATTCCAGCCAGAAGGAGGGAAATTAACTCATCACCGCCGCCTTTGCAGAACAGAGGCGCACTGTGTTCGGTTTAATCGAGGGGAATAAATCTGCGTTGCTGAACACCTGGTTCACGGCGCTCACACTGCCTCAGACTTATCCTGCAACCATCACTCTTTTACTGCCACGACCTTTTAATTCGTTCTTCAGGAAACGGATGAAATCCAGTTTTATTCTGTATTGGAAAAAACAAGACCCCATTTATTATGACTAACAGGCTTTGCTTAGATAAAAAACCTTTCCTGTGTGTTAGATTAGATTTATGATCAATCTAAATCTTCCTTCTGACAGTTTCTCACCTATAAAACTACCACAGGTGGACAGAAAACCCAAAAATTATACTCAACTAAGAGTAGCAGTACTACCACATATTTTACTAAAACTCAAGTACTAACTGATCAAATTATCAGACATTAAATTTTTAAAATTACATAATCAGGTGGACCAAAATATCAAGTTAAGTGGAAATGTTGGTATTTTAATGACAATAACTCATATAAACAACAAAAATAAGAAAATCAGGCAAAAGAAACGTTTTCCAAATCAGTTTCTTTAAATAAAAAACTTATGAAACTTTAATGAGAGCTGCAGGTCTGTGTCTGTCTCTGGTGAAATTTTACTCAAGCAAGAGAAGAAATACTTCAAAATAAAATCACTCCAGTAAAAAGTACAGCTTAATAAAATTTTTTTTTTTCAAAATGTCACTGAAGTAGATGTAACTGAGTAAATGTAAGTAGTTCATACCCAAAACACACAACTCAGTTTTCAGTTTGCTGTTCTGTTATAATAATAACATGAACTTGACTTTTACGCTGCTCCTTACAAATGAACATTTACATCCTTCAGTGACTTTTGGCTAAATCTGTTCTTTAATCAGTTTCTTCCTTCATTAGAGTATATTTTTATTTCTAAAGACACCCACTTAGAGTAATAAAACCCCAAGTCAACCTTTTTATTGCAGATAAACTGTTTAAATGGTTTTTAAAGGTTCCATCTTCTCTGCAAATTGTGACTTTTTCATTTAAAATTATTCTGATAATTTGACCTAAAACTGCCTCCTGGCTGCCCAAAATTACTCACTGGGGTTTAATTTCAACAACATGTGATATTAATTTATTACAGCTGAGGCCTAAAGATTAGGGTGATGGCAGAGAGGCCTTCCAACCTGAAAGACTCAGACGATAAGTTGTCAAAATGTCAGTGAAAAGAAAAGTAAAACCATGGTCTTTATGAGTTAGAAAGTCCTAGTCAAAGTTAAGACCTAAATCCAACAGAGAGTGATGCATTAGTGTCCAGTCTGACTGAGCTGGAGCTAATCTGTAAGGAAGAAAGGTCAACGCAGGTAGAGATATGTTGCATGTTGTTTACATCTGGGAATTTCACGCAAGCACAAAATGTTTGGAGGCAAAAAGATGATTCTTTTACTTCCAGTACATATCTGCGCTTCTGCAGTGGGACTGCTCACAAAATGAGACCTGAGATGTAGGAATCCTTAATTCAGTGCAGCAAAGGGAAAAAAAAGTAGAAAAACCACTGAAGATTGACTCAAAACCACTCAGATTCTGCCTTTCTCTTGGTGTCGGCTACGCTACATACAGACCCCGTTACCATAGCAACTGACTGACAACAACCCCGCTAACGTGTCTGGATTCAACACCACAAATGTTTCCCACACAAAGAGCAGAACGTCCAGTCCCGTGTTTTCAGGCTTGATGTTGAATTTGGGATTATCAATAAGTGATCGCTGTGATAGATTAGCTGCCCCTGCTGTTAGCTAACCAGGGTGTGTGAGTCGCCTTGTTTTTTTTTACTATGTGACTCAAAACACACCAAATTCCACATCACATGTACATGCTAAGGTTGCCAAAGTCAAGCTAGCATAGCTGAGTTACTTTCCTCTGTCGTTATTTTTTTAAGTGAAAACTTTTTCCTGACCTTATCTAGTTGTCATAGTGTTGACTATTAGTAGCAAAGCACTGCGTCCCTTTTTCTTTCATATACATTTAAGAATTATATTGACTACCTAGCAGCTAAAACCAATGCTAGTCATCGTCGGCCAGCAGCTTTTACATGTTTTTTGCTTTGTGTTGGTTTGAAGCTGGTGATCGGATACATAAAGGTGCAAAACTCAACGGTAATGTAGAAAAACCACAGATTCAATTTGTGGTTGTTTTCGTCTTTAATGCGATGCATTCAGTTTTACTAGTAAAATGTACATATTGTTCCTATTTAAAGCAATTTAAATACCTGAGGAATGTGAAGTAAAAGATAAAACTGCAGAGTCTGTCATGCGTCTGCCGCGGTGCTGAGGGAGTGGAGGATGTGGCAACGCGCTGCGGTTCGGAGGTTTGAGGCCCGTTTGGCTTTAATATGCCTCAGATTTAATGTAGACCTCATGCATCTCTGCAAACGGTTGTCAAGGTTGTTTAGAGAAGACTTAAAACAAAAGTGAGTGTTTGAGACAGAGTAAACTGCCATCCTGTCCCAGAAGTACATTTTTGACATTATTCATCTTTTTTCATCATTAGGCAAAGCAGATTTATCTCTATAGCATAATAAAGTCATTTAAAGCGCTTTTAAAGAAGATGGAGCAGAAAGACATTAAAAACACAAAATACATTAAAACAATACTTCAGCATCACGAAAACCAGAAATAATCTAATTTAAAAATAATAAATAGACTGTAGTGTGTTCAGTCCTGATTTAAGCCAGCTGTTTCTGCTCATC